TTGCAAACCTAATTTGGCTTTGTTCTGAGTCTTCGTTAATTTTTGGTGAATTTTTGTTCCCCCCATTGGAATGCATTGAATAGGTTTCAATGCATTTCAGTGGTTTTGACAGGTCCATTTTCGCTATTTTTAAAGTGTCTTAAAATGTTCAAAAACTGTTTAAAATGCTTGGAATCATTAGTGCACCCTGTAAAACCTTTGCAAACTTAATTTGGCTTTGTTGTGAATCTTCGTTAATTTTTGGTGAATTTTTCCCCCCATTGGAATGCATTGAACTGTAGGTTTGTGTCAAACCTACAGTTCAATGCATTCCAATGGGGGGAACAAAAATTCACCAAAAATTAACGAAGACTCAGAACAAAGCCAAATTAGGTTTGCAAACATTTTACAAGGTGCACTAACGATTCCAAGCATTTTAAACAGTTTTTGAACATTTTAAGACACTTTTAAAATAGCGAAAACGGACATCGCTAAGTGAAACGGGGACCTAAACTGTCATCGCTAAGCGAAGCAAGGGCCCGAACATTGCTATGCGAAATTTCCCCATTGGAAACATCGCTAAACAGAGCGCAAGATCGCTCCAAAAACCTCATTGCTAAGCGAATACATCGTTAAATGAGGCAATCGCTAAGCGAGGCACCACTGTATATAAATTCCTGATACTTGACCTTGATGTCTGGGGAAGGTGGGAATTAAAGTCCTAAACATCTAGAAAGCACTGTGTTGTGGAATGCTGGATATAGGATTGCAATCTTAAGATCTAAGCAACAAAGTGTAGGAACAGATAGGTTTGTATAATAATATATTCACGTAAATGGCACCCACAGTGACACTAGACAATGTTTAGATAAGGTTTAAATTGGAGATTAATGCATAGTGATTGGTAATGGTGCAGGTGTTTCATGATGTGTCAGATGCACTTAATACTTAGAGCTTTCTGACTTGTCTTTCAGAACTAGCGTTTTAAAATGGGTCGCCATTCATCAGACACTGAAGAAGAGAGTAGAAGCAAAAGAAAAAAGAAACACTGTAGGAGGTCGTCTTCAAGCAGTTCTTCTGATAGTAGAACTTACAGCCGTAAGAAATCAGGAAGGAAGTCAAGGTCATGGTCTCGAGATCACCAACCCCGTTCACATTCATATGAAAAGAGGTACGTGAATTGCTCTTTCTTGAGTTTTAAAACTAAAATGACGCATTAAGCAAAATTTCCAGCCCAGTCTTACATTTTACTGTAATATATAATAGCATAAAACTGCAGCTATAGTAAAAAAAGAATCTCTCTTGCTCTGGTGTTAAATCTGTTTTTACCATGCCTAACTGGAATGAGATAGCAGTAGAAAGACAGCGCTGATATTCATTTTTTAAAAAAAAAATACTATGCAGAAGTCTTGATTTCTTGCTCATGGGTATCAGGTCTACTTAGGATATTTTAGACCAGTGTTAAAAAGCAGTCAGATTTTAATTGCATACTAGTTAACACTGGTTAGCTGTGCCTCATCTAGCTGAAATGAGATGATTTAGTTGAAGTGGGAGCATGTATTATAAATCTCCAAATAAATTGGACTAGAAGCGTATATGGTTGATTCTGAGTATGCCACTGGAGCATGTGGAAGAAGATTGGGAATTCAATCTCTTTCTTACTTTTTTACTTTTTTGGGAAGTATATATCTTAGAGAGAGTTTCACAAATGCGGAGCAACTGTTACATAGAGTTACACAGTTCCTTTGATTAGATTGTGGAAATTCTGTTTTGTCCTTTTGTCCTGTTGACTGCTTTCTTCATCATTTATTTAAATGAAGCTGTCCTTAAATGCTATTGTTAAAAGTGAAGGAGAAAACATTATTTTTATCCCCTTTCTTCACATTCTAAGCCTATTTAACATATTTCCTCCCATTTGTCTTTTTTTTCTAAATCAGAAAGCCTCAAGGAGTTTACTCTGCCACTTGATTATTTTGGTTATCCTTTTTTTTATATCTCTGTAATTTTTTTGTCTTTTCTAACTGTACATATTATGCAAAGTCATTATAATAGTGTTTGCTTTATTTTTTAATCCTTTTTAAATACTCCATAATATGGAATGTCTGAGTCAGGGTATTTGGTCAGCTGTCCAATCTGACTAAAGATGTATGGGGATTTTATTTAATTTTTTAAAACTGGAGTTTACTAAAGTGAAATAGAGGAAGGCAACACTGGGAAAGCAAGACTTCCCATCTCCTAGATATGAATGAGAATTTATTTTAGCTAATTTTTATCAGTCCACCAGAATTCACAAAATACAAACAGATCAATTTGCTCATTTCTAACCATGACCTAGTATCTTTCTCCTGGTCAGTCACAGCATATTATAAGGATTTTTTATTCAGTTTGGTTTGCTTCACACTTGAATGCATTGCTATTTGGAGTGATCAGGTTGGAGTCCTTGCAATCCATTTTTTGATATCCTGCACAATTTGGAGTCCTCAATGAACCTGAGTCTTTTTGGTTTACTTCAAATTCCAAAACATAATTTTAAATTCCAGAATAAATAAAAAAAAACAATCATAACAGGAGCAGTTTCTTCAATCTGAATTTTAGTAAAAGTGCATCATATGCTAGTATGTAGTTTGCATATAGTTTTCCCCACAATTATGTGGAGTTCCAAGCCACTTGTTGTAGTTTTTAGTCCAATTCCTAATCTGGCATTATTAACTTTTGAAACGTTCAAGTTAGCCTTTAAAATTAGGAAGTTATTTTCAAAATAATGAGCACTGAATTTGTTTGCTTGCTTTGTTTATTTGCATATGTTCTAAATGCTTTCAGTTCTGCTGTCAAAGTTTCATTTTTTGTGTTTTATGTCTGTATACACACATTAGCAAGGAGGGTGTTTTTTTGTCTGTTTGTTAAAGATCTCATTTTATACATATTGGTGTTTCTGTCCAGTTCTCAAACATTACTTTATTGCTTCTTTGGAGTAATGCATTTCACACAGAAGTAGAGGGAACCTTCCTTAACACAGTCTAAATCCAGCTATATATTCTGTCATTGAATGGGGTCAAATTGGGTTTGCTATCTCTGTGGTCTTTTTTTTTCAAGAGTGAGCAGAAGTGAAACAGTATCTAAATTCTAGTGAGAAGCATATGAAACACTTGGAATTAGTATGATGATCAGATTGTGATGTTTAGTGTAGCAGAGTTCGTCAATGGCAGCTCTACATTTCTTTCCCTGTTCACTGTGCACTCCCTCTCTTTTGTCTGTTGTCAGATCTGTGCCTTTATCTTAGCTGCTGCGTTTGGTTTTTTTCTCGAATGAGAGTCTTTTAGCACCAACTGTCGAGGAAGGACTGTAAAATAGTATCACCAGGCCTCATCTCAGAGAGGTGATCTAAAAAGTTACCATGTTTAGTGGTATTGAAATCCACCAGATGGTCTGTAGACCTACCATGTTTTTCTGTGTATAAGATGCCTCCCCTTTCTAACCCAAAACTTCTTTCTTTGCAATAAAGTGGAGGGGAAAGGCAGGGATCAAAATGCCTTGATTCCTGCTTTCCCCCTTTACTTTCTTGCGAGGAAAGTGCTTTCTGCCTCCCCTTTTTTTTTTTTTTTGCAAAAGCAGGGATCATCAAAGCGCTTTGATCCCTGCCTTCCCCCTGCACTTTCAAGGAAAGTGCTTTTCCACCCCAGTTTCTTCACAGTAAAGTGGAGGGGGGGGGAAGCAGGAATCATAAAAGTGCTTTGATTCCTGCTTTCCCCCTCCACCGTTTGCTAAGAAAGTGTAGGGGGAAAGCACTTTCTGTGCTTTGATCCCTCTCCCCCTTACTTCCATGTATAAGACAACCCTCAATTTTTAAACTAAATATTTTAGACAAAAGTATCATCTTACACATGGAAAATACGGTAATGCAGACACAGTCTCCATGTCCAGTTCATGGTGTACATCGTCCGTTCAGGCAACAAAAGATATTTCTGTGGCATAATCAAACGTGAAGCCAAATTGAAAGGCATCTAGGTAATTTGCATTATGCAGGAACTCCTGGAATTTTTAAACCATCACATGATCCAATAGCTTGCCCAAGAGTTTAATATTGGAGACTGACTGGCAATTGCTGGTGTGGTGGGATTCAAGGAGGGCTTTCTGAGTAAAGGTGTTACTACCATCCCACTTAGGCACACTGGAACTTCTGTAGAGAGACATTCACCATGACTCTTATCCATTTAACCACTCTCTGCTCCCTCACAATATGAATCAGGAAGCACAAGGTCTTGGAATATACATAGTGTCTCTAACCTCTCCTAGTATCCTGTTCTTATCCTTCATCAATTGCAATCTTTCTGTTATTACTGGACAAGCAGGAAGCAAAGAAATACCTGTAGGGCCTGTGCCAGATGGCATATGAGTGGTTTTGTTTGTGGAGTGTCATGGAAATTCTACATCATGAACTGTTGAAGGGTCTTCATTCCATGTTGTCATGGAGGTAATTAAGTCCTGAGCTCCTTGGGTGAATGTTGAAGACAGAACAACAAGCTGAGTGGTCTACAGTGCCATGCCTGAGTTAAGTGTGGCTAATTTTAGAAGAAAAATTGTTGTGCAGTGCAGGTACAGCAGAAGAATTTGTATTCTGTTCCGGTGGCCTACGTTCAAATATGCTTACTAAAGCCTCACAAACTGGATGATGGAGCACCTGATGAGGAAGGTGGAGCAAGCATAGATGGTTGCAGCACCTTCTCAGAGCTACACAAAAAAACATGCAGGCAGAACAGAAAGAGATTGACTCCCAGACAGTTCTCAGTAACACATGCCAGCTCAATGTGCTCGTCTAGAATCTAGTCCTGGGTGGTTGTTTATTTCATCTTCACTGAACTGGCATTGAGCAGCAGCATTTTCAGTCAGTCTGCTGGTGAGCTTACTTAAGCTATTTGAACTGAGAAATGGTTTGGGAAGAGCCCTCACCTAAACGAGTCACCTTATTCATTTTCCTTCTCTCATGATAGTGTCACTTTCTTTCAGTTCAGCATCTCCTCTAGTCGTTTGTGGCCCTAATGATTACTTCCTGCTCCACTTCACCATCCTCTCTGCTTTGGACTTGCATTTTAGTAGCAGCCAGCGGCTCAAAATATGATAGGTCTTACAGTAAATGAAATCAGGATGCAAACAGGAAATTTGTTCTATTTCTCCTTCTTTTTGTGTGGCAAGAGAATTGGCTCTTGCCTTCTCCTTGGCTTCTCAAGAGGACCAATGATATCTCTTGTTTTCTGTCATGTCCTGGTTTTCATCTTGGTGAAATGGCTGCTGGATAACAGGCAGCGAGAGATGAAGCCCAAAAGATCTGGTGATCCTGATTCCCTTCTCTTCCTTCTCCTCACCCACATGGATTGGCTGCTTGACATCAGTTAGGGAGAAGCAAGGCCTGATTGGAGCTGGCTCACAAGAGACCCAACAGTGGCCATGCTTTGCTTCCCTTTGTGTTCTTTAGCCAGGAAGAGATAAAGCCTGATGTAGTTGGCTTCACAAGAGGACAGATGTTTTCTTTCTCTTTTCCTTCCTGGATTACATGGATACAGTCTGTAGACGCCATTAATTTAACTTTTCGGAGTATACTCTTTCCATCCATACAAGCAAATTAACTGCAGAGAAGACATTAAATTATTTTATAGAAGATATTTGTGTTATGGATGAAATGTACTGTTGAACAATCTGGACTTTGCGGCAAGATTAGAACTATTCTGGTTGTGTTGATGTTTTGCAATTTCTAAACATGGAAAATTTGGGTTTTTTGAGGATAGGTCAAGGTGGCAAAAATGATTTTCGTTAGGAAGTTCTGATGAGCAAGATCCCTTACCATTTTTCTTCCCGGTTCTATTTTCAGTATTTGCATATATCCCCTGAAGGGACCTGGTAGGATGATATCAGCTGCAGTGTTCACATTACCCAGATGACATGCAGCTTTATGAATATCTCATAGTACAGATATGACTATCTGACAGATAGCACCAAGCTTTAAAGACCTGGAGGCTGAATGGGAACCAGTTAGTGTATTTGAATCCAAGAAGATCTAAGTATTTGCTTTAAGGATTTGGCTAGCACTTCTGTCTTGACCTCACTGTATGAATATATGCCCACAGTAGTTAAGATGATGTAAAATTTCAATACTGTGCTGAATTTTGTCCGAGTTTC